GAATATAGACCTAGGGCGCCTGGGTGGCGCAGTTGGTTAAGCGACTGCCTTTGGCTCAGGTCATGATCCTGGAGTCCCTGGATCGAGTCCCGCATCGGGCTCCCTGCTCTGCGGGGAGCCTGCTTCTCCCTCTCCCACTCCCCCTGCTTGTGTTCCCTCTCGTGCTCTCTCTCATTCTGTCTCAAATAAATAAATAAAATCTTTAAAAAAAAAAAAAAAAAAGAATATAGACCTAAATTTAATTTTGCCTTACTCTTCTTAGATGTAACACCCATTTCTCTGTTCCTTGAGGATCTAAATTTACTCTTCAGATAAGCATTCTCTTTGTCTCTCTTTGCAGAGGAGGTTCATGAATAATAGAGCAAAGGGAGGCAGTCTGTTTCCAAATGTTAGCAAGCTTTACAATCACCTACAGGGTTTGTTAAAACAGATTATGCCCCTCCCTCCCTGAGTCTCCAATTTAGAAGTCTGGAGGAAGCCTTGATATTTTGCATTTCTAACTAACTCCCAGCTGATGTTGCTGCTACTGGCCCAGGGATCACACTTTGAGAACCACTGCTTAAAAACAGTCCTAGGCTTGGGCGTCAGTCATTCCCAGGCCCAAACTTTTGGCTATGTGACTTACTCCTGTGTGACCCAGATCAGGTTTTTTGTTTTGTTTTGTTTTTAAAGATTTTATTTATTTATTTGACAGAGAGAGACACAGCGAGAGAGGAACCCAAGCAGGGGGAGTGGGAGAGGGAGAAGCAGTCTTCCCGCCAGGCAGGGAGCCCGATGCAGGGCTCGATCCCAGGACCCTGGGATCATGACCTGAGCCAAAGGCAGATGCTTAACGACTGAGCCACTCAGGCACCCCCCAGATCAGGTTTTTTAACTGACACCTCTCAGTTTCCTGTACTTTAAAATGGCAATAATAATATTTATTTCACAGAGTCATTGTAAGAATTAATTACTTAATATAAAAAAAATTAGCATACTGCTTGGTACATAGTAAACACTCAACTGATGGTTTCTATTGTTATTTATAATAAGTCTTTGCATGTATTTATTAGCTATATCTTTACCTTTTTAAAAAAGGTCCCAATTAAAAGTTAATGAACCAGGGCGCCTGGGTGGCTCAGTCGGTTAAGCGACTGCCTTTGGCTCAGGTCATGATCCCGGGGTCCTGGGATCGAGTCCCACATCGGGCTCCCTGCTCTGCGGGGAGCCTGCTTCTCCCTCTCCCACTCCCCCTGCTTGTGTTCCCTCTCTCGCTGTGTCTCTCTCTGTCAAATAAATAAATAAAATCTTAAAAAAAAAAAAAAAGTTAATGAACCATAAATTCAGTTAAAGCTTTAGAGTAGATACCCAGAGACAATTTTTGTTACTTAGTCATTTTGAGATGCTGAGATGTGTGTGTGTGCGCACACACATACACACTTTCATATGTACAAACATATTCCTTTCTTGACTTTCCTTCTCATTTATGGGAAACCTAGCAGAACAGTGTGAGAAGAGACAAATTGCAAAAGGGATTCCACTTCCAAGATTCAATTTAACGATAATTTACTTTTACTAATCTCAGGCTTCTATTGTATATTGGAGTAAGTATGGACACTATTTTAAAAAAAAAAGAGCATATTTCAAAATATGTGACAGCTGCCAATTGTGGAGACAGAACTGCTTATTAATTGCCCTGTGTGTGTGTTATGTGGTAGAAGGAGAGAATAGGATAGTGGAGGTACTGTGGGTGGAGGGGAGGAGTCTATGTGAAAGATTCTTCTAAACTCTGGGTTGACCATATCCAGGGCTAGTCACAGTTCCTGAGGAGGTCTGCAAAATGAAGTTATAGAGGTATATCACTCAGCTGATTTTCTGCGTGCACATTTATATAAAGACTATTCAAATAATGTTAGCACTTATTCATTTTCCAACTACATGTGTACCATGTTAGGAACCATGGAGACTCAAACTTTAGAAATTGTGTAGAAAACATCGAAGTTGACTTGAGCAGTTAAGTCATAATTTGGGCTTTTGGGCCATGATTGCACTTGAAACTATTATCCTTTTTAATGGTCATTTGGTCAGCCTGTTTGCAGGGACCCACAGGACTTGCAAAGGTAACAAAAGTTTCAATTTAGAGTTTTTTTAAAAAAACAACTAACTCAATGATACTTAATTATTTTAAAAAGGTAAAGATATAGCTAATAAATACATGCAAAGATGCCTCACATTATTAGCCAATGAATGCAAATCAAAATCAAAATGAGACACCACTTCACACCTAGTAGGTTGGCTATAATAAAAAAGACAATAACACATGTTGCTGAGGATGTGGAGAGATTGGAAGCCTCATATATTGCTGGTGGGAATGTAAAATGGTGCTATGGAAAATAGTTTGGCAGTTCCTCAAAAACTTAAACATGGAGTCACCAAATTGACCCAGCAATTCCACTCCTTGGTATGTAACTGAAAGAATTGAAAACATGGTACCACAATAACTTGAACACAAATGTTCATAGTAGCATTATTCAAACTAGCCAAAAAAGTAGAAACAACCCAAATGTCCATCAGCTGATGAATTGATAAACAAATTGTGATGTATACAAAAGCTATACAAAAGAATGAAGTACTGATTCATGTCACAACATGATTGGACCTTGAAAATACAGTGCTAAATGAAAAAAGCCAGATACAAAAGGCTACATGTTATATGAGTCCATATATATGAAATGTCCACAATAGGCAAATCTATACAGACTGAAAGTGGATTAGTTGTGAGAATGAGGGAATGGGGAGGACTGTTAATGGGTACGGGGTTCTTTTTGGAGTGATGAAAATGTTCTAAAAAATTAGATGGTGGTGATAATTGCACAGTCTTGTGAATATAATCCTCTGAATTGTACAATTTCAGAGAGTAAGTTTTGTGGTATGTAAATTATCTTTCAAAAAACGAAGATCAAAAATAAAAGATACACCTGTAATGGGCATGAAGCATGAATGAGAAACTTCCGGTTGTCATAAAAAAATAATTGTGGGAAGAGGAGAAAAATTTCTGTGGAGAAACAAATCATCCTTCTATTAAAGATTCATAATGCATAGTAGCCCATCACAAGTTCTGAAAGTCTTGCAATGATGAAAACTTTATTTAGCTTCATTGAGCCATCATCTCCCAAACATTTCATCCTGAAAAACATTTACTCACAGTGATCATGTTAAAGTATCCTAGAGGAGGATGAATCTTGGGCTTGAGCATATGTATGTAGGAATTACCTGGAAAGCTTTCTCTCTTCTTTCCTTCCTTCCTTCCTTCCTTCCTTCCTTCCATTTTTTAAATTTAAATTCAATTAACTAACATGTATTATTGGTTTCAGAGGTAGAGGTCAGTGATTCATCAGTCTTATATAACACCCAGTGCTCATTACATCACATGCCCTCCTTAATGTCCAGCACCCAGTTACCCCATCCCTCCACCCCCCTCCCCTCCAGCAACCCATAGTGTGTTTACCTGGAAAGTTTCTTAAAACAGATTCTGGACGTCACCCCAGAGATTCTGATTTCAGAGGTCTTGGGTGCAGCCTGAGAATCAAGCTCCCAGGTGATTTGATCCTTCAGGTTTGAGAACTAAACTTTGAGTAGCATCTTTACGGAATAGACAAACCTTGTACCTTAACTGGGTGAATTTTATGGCATGTGAGTTATATCTCAATAGAGATGCTAAAAAATTTGATATATTAGAAATAGCACTAAAATGTGAGTTCTAGTGATTTTGTAATGCAAGACCATGCTCTGTGAGTAAATTGCTTTAATTAAAATTTTTTTCATCTATAAAACAAGTCACTGCCCTATCTACTACCTGGGTTTGTGACAAAAATGAGGCAGTATACGCTTTTCCAAATTGTGTTCTATGGATAAAAACGTGACTTAAGAAAAGAAAAGTCCATAGTCAGCTACGTTTGGGAGATTCTGAGTTAAATAATGCATATTCCACACTGCTGGTCAGACCAATATTCTTGACTTGGACCCTAACATGAGTCTGTATGTATAAAATCAATTAAATATGAGATTTTTACTCATTCTGATTCTTTTTTTTTTTTTTTTTAAAGATTTTTTTTTTATTTATTTGTTTGAGAGAGAATGAGAGAGAGCAAGTACATGAGAGGGGGGAGGGTCAGAGGGAGAAGCAGACTCCCCGCCGAGCGGGGAGCCCGACGCGGGACTCGATCCCGGGACTCCAGGATCATGACCTGAGCCGAAGGCAGTCGCTTAACCAACTGAGCCACCCAGGCGCCCCTACTCATTCTGATTCTTGTAGTAGGTCCTCCAGAGCTACTAAAGATCCGTATGGAGTGGAATAAACAAAATCTGAATAATATTGTGGAAATAACAATACTTGCTCCTCTCTTGTTTCAAGCTTGATATTTTATTGACCTATTTATTTGAAAAATTATTGACCAAAAAGAATTTTAGCAAATGACTACTGGCTATGATAAAATGATGTTTATAAGGCTAAGAGAATATTTTATCTAGTTGTCTCTTTTAATCAACTTACATTTATGGAGCAACTCACTTTCAAAATTAGGTTGAAGCTAAATTAAATATATCTAGAAAAAATTTTGCCTTCCTAGTATTTTAATTGAAAAAATATAGTTTTTCCTTCTCCTTTTCTAAAATTTGGGCTATTAATTTTTTAAGATTCTGAGACCCTTATTATCATTTTTATTTGAAGCTTTTATAATTAACTAAATGTTTTCTTACACTATAAGCTGTTTAAATTTTAAAATTTGTTTCCTTTTCTTTTTAATTTTAGTTGAAAAGCATTTCTCCCCTGATTTTCTTTAGTCATCTGTTTTAAGCATTATTTTGATAAGCTATAGTCTATTTTAAACCTCTTTTTAGAACTATTTTGTTGTATTAAATTTCTTGAAATTGGATATATTATTAACATGGCATTGGGAATGCATGTATATATAGTTTGAAGACATCTTTTCAAGACCTTACCATAATTATACCTTTATTTCAGATGAGGTGGAGGACCATCTTACTACAATATTGTTTTCTCTTGGTTTCCTGTCTACTTACTGCTCTTGAAGCTGTGCCTATAGACATAGACAAGACAAAAGTAAAAAATATTCAACCTGTGGACAGCGCAAAGATAGAACCACCAGTAAGTGAAATGATAAAGATAACCTTGTAGGAAGAATTTTAAACAAATGTTGCTAATATTTATTACTTATAAAATTGTACATTTAGGAACTATTTCGGAAATAGCAGTAAAAGAATATTGGATAAACATATGTTTAATATTAGACAGTGTTTATTTAATGTAGTTCATATATTAAATAATGCACAGGAGAATTAATCGTAATACATTTCCAGTGGAGAGCTCACTAGCCAAGAAAACATTGTATTATATCCAAAGGAGATACAGCAATGAGGAGAGACAGGTGACAGTGGAGCAAAATCAACCAACTAATATTATTGGTTAAGTCCTCATTGTCTAAGCCATATAGAATATGTACCTTTATGTAACAATAAAACATTATATTGGTTCTGACATAAAATTCTTCATTTGAGAAATACAGCTTTTTAACTTTGTCCCAGCTATCAAAGTAGATACGTCTTAATGCCGTTTTGCTAGTCTATTTTTTTTTTAATTAAAAAAATTTTTTTTTAGGATTGAGATCTTTAGATGCAGGGAAGAAAAACTTTCAGAAACATTATTGTTTATTTCTTAATTTGAAGGATACTGGACTTTATTATGACGAATATCTTAAGCAAGTGATTGATGTGCTGGAAACAGATAATCATTTCAGAGAAAAGCTCCAGAAAGCAGACATAGAGGAAATAAAGGTAAATGTAATTAAATAATTATTTAACAAACGTTAGAACATCCCAGACACTGAGTTAAGTACTGGGAATACAAAGATGAGACTCTTTCCAAGCTCTTATTTATTCTGAATAAATAATATCTAGAAAAAGTTTATTAGAATGAATATATGATGGGGATATAATATATTTTGGAGATGCCTAGTGGAGACACATAGTTCAGCAGTGGGGAAAGGTGGGAAGTCATTTTTCCTGATAGAGGTAAGAGCATCATGCCAATAATTTCCCTGAATTATCTTGAGAGTAATCTTATGTTTCCTTTGAGGAACTAATTTGATCTAATTTCCTGGGCAGAATAATATTTAATGTAGAACTTTGTGTCTCTTATCTACTTAAGTTAGGATTAAGAACATTATTTGTGGCAAGATGCCTGGGTGGCTCAGTGGGTTAAATGTCCAACTCTTGGTTTTGGCTCAGGTCAAGATCTCAGGGTCATGAAATTGAGCCATGCGTTGGGCTCCACGGTCAGTGTGGAGTCTGCTTGAGATTCTCTCTCTCCCTCTCTCTCTGCCCCTTCCCTGTTCTCTCTCTCTCTTTCTCTGGAATAAATAAATCTTTTTTTAAAAAAAGAACATTATTTGTGGGTAACAGAAAAGGTAGATAATAGGAAGTACAATAGAAAGATAATCCTGGTTTGGTATGGGAATACTTTTATAACTGTCTGCCTTTCACAGTCAATCCTATTCCCTTTTGGGGCAGGGGGAGACAAAATGTAATAAGTTAAACAGTTATTCAATGAAAAAGATACAAGAATTAAAATAGACACTAAAGGGGTGCCTGGGTGGCTCAGTCGTTAAGCGTCTGCCTTGGGCTCAGGTCATGATCCCAGGGTCCTGGGATCGAGCCCCGCATCGGGCTCCCTGCTCCACGGGAAGCCTGCTTCTCCCTCTCCCATTCCCCCTGCTTGTGTTCCCTCTCTCGTCGTGTCTCTCTCTGTCAAATGAGTGAATAAAATCTTAAAAAACAAAAAAAAATAGACACTAAAACTCAAGCCAATGGAATCATTATAAATAGCTCCACAAAGACTCTTAGCTTAATAAAACTGGGAGAAAAAATTTTAAATTTGTCCTTTCCTTTTCAGCCAAATATTTTGATCAGGTTTTTTTTTTTTTTAAAGATTTTATTTATTTATTTTGACAGAGAGAGAGGGAGAGAGCACAAGCAGGCGGAGCGGCAGGCAGAGGGAGAGGGAGGGGAGAAGCAGGCTCCCAGCTGAGCAGGGAGCCTGATGTGGGGTTCCATCCCAGGTCCCTGGGATCATAACCTGAGCAGAAGCATCTGAAGGCAGCTGCTTAACAGACTGAGCCACCCAGGTGCCCCTCAGCCAAGTGTTTTGAAAGGGGAATCATACTGCATTTCTTCACTTCCCAAATATTGCTGACTGGAAAGATTATGGCTTTGCCCACATCACGCTACTGAATATACTTTCATGAAGGATGTCAGTGACTTCTTAATTGCCAAATCCAGTGAATACTATTTATTCCTGTTCTCCTTTTTATTATCTTAGTGGTTCTCAGATTTTAGGGCTTGTTGAAACACAGATTCCTGTGCCCCACCTATAGACTTTGTGATTTAGTAAGTCAGAACTTGCATTTCTAAAGTTCCCAGTTGGTGCTAATGCTTCTACTTGGGGACCACACTTTGAGAACCATTGTTGTATGTAATAATGATGACTACTCTCTCCTTGAGTATATCACTCTTTTTGCTTCTATAATAGCAAATTCTTCTAGTTCGCCTTCTTACCTCTGAACATTCTTTCTTCGTCTCCCTTGTAGGGGGTTTCTTTTCTTTACCTTCCTCAGTGAGCCCTGTTGAGTCAGTCCTAAAAGGTCTGTCTGCCTGATTGCTAGTTAGATTTGCAGTTTGTGATTGCAAATGCATTTATAAATAAGAGAAAGTAAGCTACTAGCTATTTTGTTTCTTAAATTTTGGAACATTTATCTAAGTACTCATCTATGAGAAAAATAATCAAAGGAGACAACCTAAAAAAGATGAATTTTGAAAAGTTATTTATATATGTAACTACTAAAGCTTAAGGTGGCCAAGTTATTTTTTAAAATTACTTTATTGAAATGTAATTCACATACCTTACAACTTGCCCCTTTAAAGCATATAATTCAGTAGTATATCTACATGTGACCATCATCACTATCTACTTTTTTTCTTTTGTAAAGATTTTATTTATTTATGTGACAGAGAGAGAGACAGCAAGAAAGGGAACACAAGCAGGGGGAGTGGGAGAGGGAGAAGCAGGCTTCCCGCGGAGTGGGGAGCCCAATGCGGGGCTCGATCCCAGGACCCTGAGATCATGACCCAAGCCGAAGGCAGTCACTTAACTGACTGAGCCACCCAGGTGCCCCCCTTTTTTTTTTTTTAAAGATTTTATTTATCACTATCTACTTTTTTTTTTTTTAAGATTTTATTTATTTATTTGAGAGAGAGAGAATGAGAGAGAGCACATGAGAAGGGGGAGGGTCAGAGGGAGAAGCAGACTCCCCACTGAGCAGGGAGCCCGACGCGGGACTCGATCCTGGGACTCCAGGATCATGACCTGAGCCGAAGGCAGTCGCTCAACCGACTGAGCCACCCAGGCGCCCCAATCACTATCTACTTTTAAACAATATCATTTCCCCCCAAAAGAAACTCTGTACCCATTAAGCCATCACTCCCTCCCCCCCTTCTTATCCCTTGGCAATCATTGATCTACTTTCTATCTCTATGGATTTGCCTACTTTGGACATTCTACATAAATGGAATTATACAATATGTGGCCTTTTGTGTCTGGTTTCTTTGAGCATGATGTTTTTCAAGGTTCATTGTATTGTAGCTTATATTAATACATTCATTTCTTTTTATGACTGAACAATATCCCACTTTATGGATATTCCATATTTTGGTTATCAGCTCATCAGTTGATGGACATTTGGTTATTTCTACTTTTTATACTGGTATGAATAATGCTGCTATGAAAATTCAGGTACAAGTTTTTATGTGAACGTATGTTTCAATTCTTTAGGTATATACCTAAGAATGGAATTGCTGGGTCATATGGTAATTCTGTGTTTAAATTTTTGAGGAACTGCCAGATTGTTTTTCAAAGCAGCTGTGCCATTTTACAATTCAAGTTACTTTTTGAGTTTCTTCTTTGTGCTTTAATTATGCTTTCAATTATATGGTTTTTATTTTCTTTCTCCAAATTTTTCTTTAAATTCCAGTTAACATGCAGTGTAATATTAATTTCAGGTGTAGAATTTTGTGATTCATCACTTACATACAACACCCAGTGCTCATCACAAGTGCCCTCCTTAATACCCATAACCTATTTAACCCATCCCCCCTGCCCACCTCCCCTCCAGTAACCCTCAGTGTGTTTTCTATAGTTAAGAGTGTTTTTGGTTTGCCTCTCTTCCCTCCCGCCCCTGCCCCATATTTATCTGTTTTGTTTCTTAAATTCCACATATGAGTGAAATCTTGTGGTATTTGTCTTTCTCTGACTAATTTTGCTCAGTATAATACTCTCTAGCTCCATCCAGGTCATTGCAAATGGCAAGAGTTCATTCTTTTTTATGGCTGGCTGATATGCCATTGTATATCTATACGTATCTTCTTCATCCATTGATCACTTGATGGACATTTGGACTCTTTCCATAATATATGGTTTTTACACATCTTGACTTTAGAGTTAGAAACTGAGTATCTTCTGAAAGAAATGCTTTTTGTAATGCCAAATTTGTCTAAATTAGTCAAAAGTATTTATCACTACTTCATCATAACCCTAATTTTAATATATTGTGTCTGGTCTAAAGATGGAATGTAATAAATAAACCTAACTTGTTAATTTTAACAGAGTGGGAGGCTAAGCAAAGAACTGGATTTAGTAAGTCACCATGTGAGGACAAAACTTGATGAACTGAAAAGGCAAGAAGTGGCAAGGTTAAGAATGCTAATTAAAGCTAAATTGGATTCCCTTCAAGGTAAGTGCTAAAAAAAAGTAGGAAAGTTTCAGTATTTGGTTGTTGAGGTCAGCTTATATTGGCACATACCATGTTCTTCTAGTCAAAATTTAATGTTAGCATTGATTTGCGTTCTCTTAATTTTTTTTTTTAAAGATTTTATTTATTTATTTGCGAGAGAGAGAATGAGAGACAGAGTACATGAGAGGGGGGAGGGTCAGAGGGAGAAGCAGACTCCCCGCCGAGCAGGGAGCCCGATGCGGGACTCAACCAGGGACTCCAGGATCATGACCTGAGCCGAAGGCAGTCGCCTAACCAACTGAGCCACCCAGGCGCCCCAGCGTTCTCTTAATTTTTAAAATAGGTAATCACATCATTCAAAAATCAAAATGATTAGCCTTAAATTATTATATCAATGAAAAGTAATGAATTAAGCCACTGATTTAAAGGAGGAAGAATGGGGCACCTGGGTGGCTCAGTCTTTAAGCGTCTGCCTTGGGCTCAGGTCATGATCCCAGGGTCCTGGGATCGAGCCCCGCATTGGGCTCCCTGCTTGGCAGGAAGCCTGCTTATCCCTCTCCCACCCCTGCTGCTTGTGTTCCTTCTCTCTCTGTGTCTCTCTCTGTCAAATAAATAAATAAAATCTTTAAAAAAAAAAATAAAGGAGGAAGAATAACATCAAAGCAAACCAAAAGAGAGAAAATCTAATTATAACAATTTCCATAGATGAAATAGAAAATCGTCAGAGAGCTTGCTCTAAAAAAACCATACTATGCCCAGAGAGTGTCAAAAGGAATTCTATTAAACTATTAAAGAACAGATTGTCAGGGCACCTGGGTGGCTCAGTTGGTTAAGTGTCCAACTCTTGGTTTCAGCTCAGGTCATGATCTCCGGGTCGTGAGATCGAGCCCCGTGTTGGGCTCCACACTCAGTGGGGAGTCTGCCCTCTCTCCTTCTCAAGTAAAAATAAATACATCCTTTTTTTTTTTTTTTAAAAGAACAGATTGTCAGTGCTATTTAAACTATTCCAGAGCATAAAAAAAGGAAAGCTTTCATACTCTTAATATGTATTGATGCCAAAACCAAAATTATTTTATGTCAAAAGTATACCATATAATAGCAAGTGGATTTATTTTAGGAATGCAAGATTGACTTAATATTAAGAAATCTAATACTATAAATCACATGAATAGTAATAGAAAAAATTTTGGTGTGACAAAAGAAATCAAGAAGTCAAAGGACAAAGGATAAATTAGAATAAATCTTTGAAACTTCTATCTTTTAAAATTAAGATTTGGCGTGTGTGAGTAGCACATTTGGTTATGTGTCCAACTCTTGGTTTTGACTCAAATTGTGATCTTGGGGTTGTGAGATAGAGCCCTGCCTTGTATGGGGCTCCAAGCTCAGTGCAGAGTCTGCTTAAGATCGTCTCTCCCTCTCCTTGTACCCCTCCCTCCACCCCTAGCCCCGCTCCCCCATTCACACACTCTCTCTAAAATAAATAAAAAAATAAACAAATAAATAAATGAATAAAATTAAGATTTGATTCTTTTAGAGCAGTATAAGGTTTATAGCAAAATTGAAGGGAAGGTGCAGAGATTTCCCATATACCCCCAGCCCCCCAAACATGCATAACCTCCTTCATTACTAGCATCACCCACCAGAATGGTAAATTTGTTACAATTGATGAACCTACATTGACACATCATAATCACCCAAAGTCCATAGTTTACATAAGAGTTCACTTTGGTGTTTTACAGTCTAGGATTTGGACAAATCTATAATGATATGTATTTACCATTAAATATCATGCAGAATAGTTTCACTGCCCTAAAAATTCTCTGTGCTCTGCCTATTCATGCTCCTATATTCTTTTAATTTTAGACTGTGAGACTATTAAATAGCTATGAAGTAGAATTTTTGAAATGTGAAGATATCCACAGACAAGAAAGTAATCTCCTATATCATACGACCATCTCTATATCTACAGAAAAGGAGCAATTGACAAAATTTAACACCTCTTCTTAATTTTAAAAAAGTAATAAAATAGTAATCAATAGATACTTCTGTAACATGATCAGGTATGTCTAACTCAGCCACATCATACTTAGTGGGGAAATACAAGTGTGTATTCTAATTAAAATCAGGAACAAGACAATGATGTCCACAATCACCACTACTAATTAGCATAGCATTGGAGGTACTAACCAAAACAATTACATAAATGAAAAAAAAACTGGAGATAAGGTGATTGAAAAGGAGTTGATAAAACCATTTCTGTTTTCAGGTGATAGGATTATATACTTGGAAAACTCAAAATAATTGACTAAAAAAATAACAAAGAACAGGAAAATTCAACAAGGTAAACTTAATATCCAGAAATCAGTATTTTTCATATGCAACAGCCAGTTACAAGATATAATGGAAGAAAAGACTCCATTTACAAATACCAACAAAGATAAAATACTCAGATTAAACCTATTAAGAAATTGGACTTACAGACAAAAAGCTTTAAAATACTCCTGAAGGATGCAAAAGTAGACTTGAAAAGAATGAGAAGACATAACATCTTTTTTTTTTTCAGTTTTATTTTTTTATTATTATGTTATGTTAATCACCACACATTACGTCATTAGTTTTTGATGTACTGTTCCATGATTCATTGTTTGCATATAACACCCAGTGCTCCATGCAGAACGTGCCCTGTCATCTATTTCCAGAGATTTCTTTCTTTTTTTTAAATTTAAATTCAATTAATTAACATATAATGTATTATTAGTTTCAGAGGTAGAGGTCAATGATTCATCAGTCTTATACCCAGTGCTCATCATATCACGTGCCCTTCTTAATGTCTATCACCCAGTTACCCCATCCACCCACCCCTCTCCCCTCCAGTAATCTTCAGTTTGTTTCCTATGATTAAGAGTCTCTTATGGTTTGTCTCCCTCTCTGATTTCATCTTGTTTTATTTTTTCCTCTTGTCCCTATGATCCTCTGTTTTGTTTCTTAAATTCCACATATGAGTGAGATCATATGATAATTGTCTTTCTCTGATTGGACTTATTTTGCTTAGCATAATACCCTCTAGTTCCATCCACATTGTTGCAAGTCGCAAGATTTCATTTTGATGGCTGAGTAGTATTCCATTGTGTATATGAACCACATCTTCTTTATGCATTCATCCGTCGATAGACATCCTGGGCTCTTTCCATAGTTTGGCTATTGTGGACATTGCTGCTATAAACATAGGGTGCAGGTGCCCCTTCGGATCCCTACATTTGTATCTTTGGGGTAAATACCCAGTAGTGCAATTGCTGGATCATATGGTAGCTCTATTTTCAACTTT